TTTTTAATAGAGACACAGTATTTTTAGTTTCACCATGTTGGCCAGACTGGTCTCAAACTCCTGACCTCAAATTATCTGCCCGCCTTGGCTTCCCGAAGTGCTGGGATTACAGGCTTGAGCCACTGCACCTGGCCCAAACTTGCCAGTTTTTAAACAAATCTTTCTAATATAGAAAAACACTTTGTAACTATCTAAGATTCGGATAGACATCTTATTTACAGTGCACAAAATTTTACAAAATTATTAACATTCACAGAAAAAAAAACAAATACAGAAAATCTAAAACTATTACCATGTGTAGAACTAATGGAATCAAAATTAATTTCTATGTATGAGAAGAGAAAAAAATGCAGCATACAATGAAGAATGTGTTTATCCTAAGAATACTATGAAATTCTTTCAAATGTAATATTGTAATGAAGAGATGCCTTTTTAGTCTCTTACTGATAATTAATTTTCAGTTAATATAATATTTACTTTTACACACCCTGGAGCCACAACTTAATTCACATATCAAATCCAATTGTGAAATTCTATTTGAAATTCTATTGAGAAAGAATCTTTAATTTTGTTAAAACTGAAAGAAAATGTGAAAAATATTTCTAGCACCACCATAATCTTGATAAAATAACCTTAAAAATGTTGAAAACACAAAAATAATAGATTCTATTCCCAATAAAATCAATGCTGGTAATTATTTTTTCATTCAGGTATCCATTTAACAAATAATTATTTAGTGCTTACTATGTGTTAGATATGCAGCTAGGCATTTTTTAGTGAAAATTGTTATGAATTCAATTTCTAATTATGTGAATAATTAAGAACAATCAGAAACTACAGAATTTTTAAATGACTTGAGATCAAAATTCTTTATTTCTTAATTTATTCATTATTTTTTATGTGCCCACTTAACAGAGATACATTTTAAAATATAAAGTGACTTTCTTGCCATTAAAATGATTAAAATCATGGCAGGAAGAAATTTTATCCAGCCTTGCATACAACGTTGAAGACTTAGTGTATGATGATTTAGATACACCACACTGCCTTAGTAAATGTAATGAAGTCATTAATTACATTGTGTAAAGCATCTAGAAGATAAAGCTCAGCATCACTAGTCATAAAAGAAATAAAATTGATAACAATAGTTATCTTAACCTGCCAAATGCTAGAGAATTAGAAATGATGGAGCAACTAAGAATATGGAGACACAGGCATGGTAATAAAAAGTGCTGGTAGGCATACAATCTACTTACCAGATTTTTTTTTTTTCCAATAAGTAGTCATGTGACAAATTCTGGCCAATAAGATATAAACAGAAGTATTGTATATGACTTCCAGGAAAATTCTGACATCTTGTATTATTAGTGTTAGTAACCATTTAAGATATCAAAAGAGGTTTTGAAGAATAAATAGAAATAAATAAAGATAAATAAAGAGAAAATAAAATAGTTTAAAGTACAGAATTTTCTGTATTATAAATAGCTGGAGAATCGAAAATATTTATATTTGCTTATATAAGACAAAAATGAAGCATGTGCATTTTCTGTGCTGTTTCCTTTGTTAAATAATATAAATGTTCTCCAATAGTGTTGAGTTTATAATGACTAATATGAAATGATGGAACACTCCAACACCGATATTTGATGGATACAATCTCAAGTCTACCTGCTGGGCATACAGGACCTATGCAAAGGGTTCTCAGCCCCTCACTGCCTAAGAACAATGGGAACAGGGCAAGGAAATTCTATGAGTTCTTTGAGGTTCAAATTACAGCAAAGCTTACCTCAAGTGGTTTAAGCAATAAGAACACATGCTATTTTGTACAACAAAAAAAATCTGGAGGTAGATGGTTCCAACGTAGGTTAAATTAATAGCCCAAAAAAGTCAAAAGTTCTAGCTCAAAGTCTTGTGATCCTCTGAGCTTTTTCTTCATGCTCTGAAGATGGCTGCAGCTTCTCTGATCATCAGGGCCTCACATAATAATCTCCAAAGGCAGAAACAGAAACACTGTCTCAGGAAGCCTCACAACGCTTCCCTTTAAATACCTCTAGGCAAGATGCCCTTGCCTGAACTAATCACTGGCAAGTACAGTGAATTGTCTTGATTGGCTTAGGCCATATTGTACGCCAGCTTGGAGACCTAAGAGGGGCCCAAAAAGACTGTGGATGCTGAATATCTATTAAAAATCACGTTGGATTTATAATAAGATAAAGACAGAAAATACAGCTGTGGAATTGGCAAATATGCGGTCTTTCACACTAAATGCTGATATAAAGACTAGAAATAGGCTCACTAAAATTTCTCCCAAGTCCATGTAAATATTTTGTATACAAATTGTTTTTAAAAAGATTTATGAATTTTTTCTATGACAGAAAAGAATTGAAATACAAACAGATAAGGACTAAATGTATATATTTCACAGTTAACATTAATAAATTATCATATACTATAAAATGTATTGGAACATGATAACAATTTTAAAACCAACAATTATTTTATAAGAGTATTGACAATTTTAATGATACTCATTTATGTAATGGAAAACAAAATTGCAAAGCCATTTTAGATAGACGTTTTGTGAACTGCTGCAATAAACATGTATCTTCTATGAATGTTAATGTTATCATTTCTTTTTCTGGAAAGGACAAATAATTCATGCAAAATGTTCAGCTAAGTAACATTTTATGGCTGTTTCTGCCAGAGCCTAAGTCTGTCTCTCTGGGAGAAAGTAAAGATGTCTGGAAATGCGATGAGGTACACTGGGCTCAGCCCACCTCAGTGCTAAATTTCAACAGAGGGACTGGTGGTAGGAACAATTGCTCTAAGTTTTCAACAATAATAAAACTCAGATAATGTACAAGAACATTTAAAGACCAACATGTTGAAAAACATATGAAGGCTTTCCAATCAGTTATTAAGAATATAAAATAGTGTATGATTTTATGAGGATTCACTTGAAAGATGTTTTTAATTCATTGCCTCTCATATCTAAAGATATCTTAGTAATAATCTATTCAGTCTCTTTAATGTACTAATGAAACATGGAGGACCAGAAATATCAAAGATTTATCAAGACCAAATAGTTAATGGGTAGAAGAATCAAGAAAAAAACCCAGGTGTTTTGATTGCTAGTTCATGTTTTCCTACTTGGGCTTATTATTCCAATTATTTTAATAATCTTACTTCTTTTCATTAACAATGCAAAAATTAAAGATAACAGAATATAAACAGTATTGCATTAAAAATGAAACACTCTTCACCCAGATGTTTATAACAGCTTCATTTATAATTGCCAAAACTTGAAAGTAAACAAGATGTCCTTTGGTAAGTGAATGAAAAAATAAACTATGGTATATCCAAGCAATGAATTATTATTCATTACTGAAAACAAGTGAGCTATCAAACCATGAAAATACATGAAGGAAACTTAAATGAACACTCTTAAGTTACTGAAGCCAATCTGAAAAGGCTACAAACTATACGATTCCAACTATATGAGATTCTTGAAAAGACAAAACTGTGGAGTTAGCAAAGAGATCTATGGTTGCCAGGGGTTAGGGGACAGAGAGAGAGGAACAGGAGAAGCAAAAAAGAGTTTGGAGCAGTAAAAATACTCTGTATGACACTACGGTGGTGGATAATGTCATTATAGATTTGTCCAAACCCAAAGAATGCACAACACCAACAATATACCCTAATGTATCCTATGGACTCTGAGTGATAATGATGTGCCAGTGTAGGCTCATCAGTTATAATGTGTCATTCTGGTGGGGGATGTTGATAATGGGGGAGGATATGTACGTGTGGGGGCAGGGCTATATAAAAAATATCTGTATCTCCAATTTTGCTGTGAGCCTAAAACTGTTCTAAAAGAAAAAGCCTTTAGGAAAAAAAAAAAAAGGCATTCTTTATTTTCAAAGAAAAGCAACCATAAATAATGTTGGAAACGTGAAAAATTATATTTTAGGTAGGTACTGTCTCTGAGAGAGACTAATATCTTCATGAATGTTTATTAACTGTGACATTTTATTTTTAAAACTTCAATTTTTATTTTTAAATAAACGTATTATTAATGTAAAATTATAAATTATTAAAATAAAAAATTTTTAATTACTTTGTTTTTAAATTAAATTATATTAATCAAAAACTGTACATATTAAGTAAAATTGAACATATGTATATCTATCATAAATCTCACAATTCAATAAGACTCCCCTTTTTGTTAATAACAGTAGTATGGTTATTACTTAGTAAGTTCCAACCAAATGCCATGTTCTTCGTATATACTAAAGTTATATCATTAGTATATTTACTTCACCTCCAGTCAAATTTTAGCTAAGACTAAATGACATTATGTTCCAGGAACTTTCCTAAGTACTTTACACATGTTTACTTAATCCTCTGAATTTCTTGTAAGGTTGGTATTATTAGTATCCATATGAATATTAATGATTACAGGGTGGTCTTTGTAGCACCAAGCCTCATATCCTCCCAGACAAAGTGCAAAGCGTGGAGGAAAGGAGAGGCTTCTTGTGAGAAGTTCCTGGAAGTCTTCTCTTCAGTTCCTATGATCTAGCAGTGGAGCTGGTGCAAGGAGAGCTGAGAAAGCAAGGGTGTGGGAGGCGGGCTCTGCCAATAAGGAATGGGGAGAAGAGGAACACCCATAGGGCAAGTAGAGCTAGATCAGTAGCTATTGCTTCCTAACAAACCACTCCCAAAACAGTTATTTAAAACCATCCATTATTTCTAAAGGTGCCATGGGTCACCTGACCTGGGTCAGGTTCTGGTATCTTGGCTGGGATCACTAACGCATTTGTATTCCATTGCTGGATCAGTTTTTGTAAGCCTAGTAGAGAACTACTGGTAGTCCTGGATCAATCTCCTTTGAAGCATTTCTCTTTATTCTTCTTTTTCCATTTTCATCCTTTGGTGCTGGAGCCAGATATTGAGGTCACTATGTCGCTATGAGGTTCAGAATCCTGACTACCTCATAGTAGCAATTCTGGGTGAAGTACATGTTAAAGAGGAAGCACATCTTTAGTTTCCAGTAACTGGCATTTGGTTATGGGGTGGCTGTTTTTCTACGTGGAACAAGCAGGGTCCCAGTTCAAGTTTCTGCTGCATATCTGATAATCTTGAGGTGTTTATGAAGGACTCCTTTGAAAGTTCTCCACTGAGTTTCCTTAAGGAATTGGAATATGTAAGTAAATTACTGTCCAGAATGGAGGAATACTACACTAATCACAATGAATAGACAGTGTATTCCTTATGATATTCATATCATTTGAAGGAAAAATTAGGTTAGTAACTCTACCATATAATGTATTTACTTATGGAATTTTTACTCACTTCTTCAGTCCATTGTATCTGCCATGCTTTAGAACATGGTCATGGCTCCTATTGGGGTTATCCTCATCTTTATTCCTGAGCAGTCTCCACCTTTGGTGGCACTGCTTATATTATATTGATATAGTTTTGATTAAGTTTTACCACTGATATGGCTCCGATGAGTGCAGGAACACCAGGACTCTTGTTTCGTGTGAGTTAGATAAAACAACATGGACACACGTGGAGTGGTTTTAAGGAGCAGAGAATTCAACAGGCAAGAAAGAAAAGAGAAGGCAGAAGGAAGAGGCTAGCCTTACAGAGACAGAAGGTAGGGGGCTCCAAAGTTGAGAGAGGAAACCCCAAGTGCCACAGATACCAGCCAGTAGGCTGGAGAAGGTGGTGTTTGATTTGCATAGAGCTCAGGCGATTGGTTTGACTGGGCATGTCATTTATGAAGCCAGTGGGAATAGTTGGCCCTCCCACCCCAGCCTTTTAATATGCAAATCTAGGGTGCCATGATATTCTACAAACGTGGGGATATGTGGAGGCAGCCATGTTGCCCAGAATATGTGGGGCAGGGCAAGGGAATGGCCATGTTTGGGTGGACCCAGTTTCTAATGGCCTGCATTTGCTTATCAAAGGTTGCTGACCTGGCTCTAGAGCTGCTTTAAAAATGAAAACTTCCAAGGACCCATTTTCCTCTCTATCTGCCTAAAATAATTACTTAACTCCTACCACACCACTAGGCATGGAAATAATTTGGAGGTGGAGACATTGGCAAATTCGAATACATTCAGTTAACTTCCCTTCCTTGTAGATATGAGATAACTGACCCTTGAAAAGTGAAGAAAAGTGACTTGTCTGAGATTGAACAGCCAAACAATGAGAATCCAATCCCTTTGGACCTGTTTTCTCACCTATAAAATAGATGACAGAATATCCTAGAAACATCCTGTCTTTGGCAAACAGTACAAAAGGAGAATTTTATAAACAAACACATTTATCTTCATGAATATCTGATCTTACTGGTGTTTACACTCTGGACATATACTTCAGTCTGGGGAGAAGAGAAGGACACTGTAGAGATAATCTAACAAGAAAGAGCAAGTAAAAGTCTTATAACTTGCATGAGTTAATTTTTATCAAGAGTGAAGAAATGATTTATGTCGGGACAGGTGGGAGTTTGGTGGGGAGAGTGAGGATATTGCAGCCATGAGAAGCTTGCTCTTGGATATATGCTGTTCTGATTGGAAATTGTATTTTCTCCGTGTAGTAGCCATCCCTAGTAACTGCTTACCTACTTAGGACTTTTAGTGAACAGAACCTGATTAAAATATACCCTCCTATATAGCTTCATATTATCTTTATAATAAATTGCCATTGAAAACTACTCAGAAGATAGTTAATGTATTTTAAAGATAATAAGTATTTGGGAATCTGGATGAAGTTTTAGTTTTAAATGTAATATCTTCTGAGAAAAGATAACTGATTCTTGGTCATCGTTTCAGTGATCTGAAAGAATCAATGCTCTTGTATTCGGCCAACAGGAGGCAAATTGTGAATCCAAATGATAGACTATAAAAACAAGCAAGGACCTTAGAAATTATCCAGGCTCAAAACCCTGCTTTTAATGATAAGAAATTAGGCTCAGAGAAGAACATAATATGCAGGAATAATTTCACAGATTGCTGTTTGCTTCTTTTTCATTTATTAACCTATTCAATACTTGCTGTGTCTCAGCATTGTTGGCTGACAGAGATATAATCATAAATAAAACCCCAGAATAGCACAAAAGCATGTTCACAATGCCTTCCTGACTTCTTCCAGGCTTATATTCCCCCATTCCCCAGGCTCTCAGCCTCACCGAAAACCTCAGGCACATCCTGTTCTTTCCAACCTCTCTGTCTTTGTTCATGTTTCTGGTCCTTTTAAAATAGGTGATTACAATCGCTAATACAAGTACATGGTAGAAAAATCCCAGAGGTATAAAAGGACAAATAAAATGAAAATCACATCTCTCTTTTGTCTGTGTTTCCTAGTCACTCACTTCCCCTTCCCAGAGATAACCACTGTTTCTAATTGTGTATTGTCATGGAGTTGGTTAATGGATATGTAAATACATATGTATACATAATTGGTAGTCTTTTTTTCTCACCAAATGTTAACATGTTTTACATGTTGTTCAGTACCTTATATTTTTGAGCTTAAATGTGTGTGTTTTCTTCTAAATTTGATAGTAATTTTTTTAGATTAATAAGATCTCTCTTCACCTGGGCTTTGGTATACTCAGATGATTTTTAACTCAACCTGGGTCCTCTCTTAAATTATATTCTTTAAATTATATATAAATTATATTCTTTAATTCAATTTAAGTCAATTGCTTTAAATCTTTAATTCAATTACTAATTCAATATATTCAATTAATTCATTTTGTCATTCAAAGTCTTCAGAGCCTGTTTACCTGCAATCTGTAACCTGATTTCATGCCACTGTCCAACTCACACCTTCTTATCACTCAGCCTGTTTCCTCATTTCCCCTTGAATGCTGATGCATATGCCTGCTTCTGAGACTCCGCTAGTTGTGTTTCTCACAGCATTCCCTTCTTCTCCCTCAGTACTACATTCTATGAGACTTAATCCTCACCTCCTCCATGAAGCCTTCACAGCTGTTCCCACCCACATTTGTCTCTTCCTCTTTCATATTCCAGTTCCCTTTTGATATAATCACATACTATCCTTTATTTCAACTTAGTGGGACTCAGCCATTACTCAGAGTGTTATAAGCTATATTTTTCTGGCAAGTTAATGTTTACAGAAATCATATAGCCTCTTTGGACCTGTTTTCTCACCTATAAATTGAGAAAAGCAGTATGATGTACGGCAAGTTCATGGAATGTGGGGTCTGCTAGACTAGGGTTGTATTCCAAAGTTTGCACCATATTCCATCCCTTAGGCCTATTAGAAAATTGCTCTAAACTCTGTTTTTCAAAATCTTCAAAATGTAAATAACTCCTTACTCAGCACTGTTGGAGGATCTAATAGAATAAGTGATGCTCTTGACACACAATAAATGCCACTTTTTGCATGTATAGCATTTAGTCAAGTGATACCAATGTGGATGTCACCAATAAATATTTTACTGAGTATTGACTATGTGTGCAAGACATTGTATTGGGCACTAAGGTATGAAGATTTACATGCTTAGTACCAGGACCTGGAACATGGAAGGTACCCAGAAAATGTTGACTCAACTCCTGGATAAGAAAAAGTCCCTCAAATGCAGGATCCAATATGTTAGAACATGGACATGTGCGTTTGTTTTTTTAAAAAGTCTATAAAATTAAAAACTTCTAACCTTATCACTAAGGGTTGCTTTAAAGTTTAACATTATATTTTGAGGAAATTATGTACCTCAATATAGAAATACAAAGCATTCAAAATATGTAAATAATAATTGTTCTTATCTTATGTAGATGTAAATCAATCTCTAAGGTTTTTAGGACAAGTTACATAAGAGTCCAAAACAATTGCCAAGGCCCTGAGTAGGGAGTGTGGTTCTCATATTCAAAGAACATAAAAAAGACTAGTGTCGCTGGGGCAAGTTAAGTGAGATATGAAATGAAATTAAAGAGGATTGTGGCCCTGTCTCCCAGTTTCTATGGCAATTAGGAGTCTAATTTCAGGAATGGCTTATTCCATATTGTAAAACTATCTCCTATCTTGAAGATAGGATAAAATTTACTTTTTCTTTCAGGGCTAGTTAGCAAACACAGGTGGCCAATGATCCTCTCCTGACACAGCTTTTATACACTTTCTTCTCTTTGTTTTAGAGAAGTTGAACACCAGGCCTTTCTCTTCTATTGCAATAGCATTGAATAAAGTCTTTCTTACCTATGTAACTTTGTATAGTGTCATTTTTTCTTTGACACAGTGATGATGGTAAGAAGTGGTGGGATCACTGGATATATTTTGAAGACAGGATTTTCTGATAAATTAGATGTAGACTGTGAGAAAAATAGAAGACTCAAGAATGATGTCAGGCCAGGTGCAGTGGCTCATGCCTGTAATCCCAGCCCTTTGGGAGGCTGAGGTGGGCAGATCACTTTAGGCCAGGAGTTAAAGACCAGCATGGCCAACATGGCAAAACCCCATCTCTACTAAAAATATAAAAAATTAGCCAGTCATGGTGGCATGAACCTGTAGTCCCAGCTACTTGGGAGACTAAGGTGGGAGAATTACTTGAGCTAAGGAATGAGCTGAGATCGCGCCACTGCACTCCATTCTGGGCAATGGAGTGAGAACCTGTCTCAAAAGAAAAAAAAAAAAGAATGCTGTCAAAGGAGTCCATGAACAAATGGATAAATAGAGTTGTCATTGACTGGATGGAGAACACTGTGGTTATGGCATATAGGTGTAGTGGGTTGGGAAGTTCTGTTTTGAATATGTTGAGTTTGAGATGTCTTTTAGACTATATGGTAGGCATTTAAATATTGAATGTATGAATTTGGAGTTGAGAAGTTTGGTCAGCACTAAATATATAATTGTGCGTGTTGTTATGGTTTGAATGTCCGTCCCTTCCAAACTCATGTTGAAACTTAATTCCCTCTGTGGCAATATTGAGAGGTGGGACTTTTAAGAGGTAATTGGGTCATGAGGACAGAGCCCTCCTGAATAAATGAATCTATTCATGGATTAATAGATTGAGTTATCACAAGATTGGGACTGGTGACTTTATAAGCAGAGGGAGGAGAGACCTCAGTTAGCACACTCGGTCCCCTCACCATGTGATGCTCTGCACTGCCTTGGGACTGTGCAGAGAGTCCCCACCAGCAAAAAGGTTCTCACCAGATGTGGGCTCTCAACCCTGAACTT